TATTACTTTATACCAGCACCCACTCCAATGCCAAGCACCATGAATAAATAATAGATTAACCATTGGATTGATTATTACTTATACATGGATTATTAATCTTTGCGTTAGACCATGATTTTGTGATTATTGTATTACTATCTTGTTTAACAATAACTCTACATGTTCTTGTAGGAGGATTTTCATTATCTGTTGGCTTGAACCCTTTAGCACAAGTGCCTTCCACAGGTATATCATTAATAATTAGTTTTTCATTATTAGGTATAGCTATAGGATTTTTATTTGATACTTGAAGTTTATCTCCTATTTTTATATTTAAATTACTTGCATCAAAGATTGCATTACCTAAAAAAGGAACCGTGACATTGTTTTTTCCACATCCGTCTTCCCCTATGATAAATCTGCATCCATTATGTAGTGTGCCAATAGGAAAATTTCCATTTAATATTCTATATGGTCCTTCATTAGAGTGAGATGGTATTACAGAAAAATTTTTCTTTAGTAAATCTTTGCTATAGCCTAAATATTTTAGTAAATTTTCATCAATAGGTAATGTATTTGAATTAATGCCCTTATTCTTTTCATCTCCATAAAGATAATTTTGCATGTCCATATAATCTGCTTTGAAATTCACAAATTGGTTTTTTAATGTATCATTGTTTTTGTAATCAGATATATCTGATAATTTAGTGCAGGTTTTTCCATCGGTTGATAAACATTTTTCATTTTCTAATCCCAAAGAAGAATCACATTTGCCTTGTAATTGATCTTGATCTGTATAGTCTTTATGACGGTCAAAGTGATCATCAGTAAAATCTATATAATCAGTTAAGGAAGACACATCATTTTTACCAAGCCTCATGTATTCTTCAGATATTTGATCGCAAATTATATCACCTTTACCATAAAAATTTGGCCAATTTGTTTCTAAATTCATGCATATTACATTTGTTTGTGACTTATTATTTTTTTCTTTATTTTGTTGATCAATAGTATAAATACCCCTGCAATATGATTTTTCTGCTTCATTATAAGTATCATCAGTGCTTTTATTGTTTTCTGATCCAAAATAACAATTAACTATATATTTATTAGGATCTTCTATAGGGGGAGGGTTGTTCTTAAAGTTATAGCAACTATAATTTCTATTACATGATTTTCTATCTCTTTT